CACGGTGGCTGAGTCCAGGGTTTCGAATACCTGGATTCCCCTACAACTAAAAACATGCGCAGTAAGCAAAAACACCTTCCAGCTCTGGTCCTGACCAAGCCGAGCATCAACATCTGGAGGTGGGTTCGCAGGTGCTGTACTACGGCGACCACTGCTTCTGACAGAGGGCCTTGTGGCAAAGAAGGATGGGTCAAACGCAAAGGACACATTCCCCTACATGGACAATAAAGTTTCACTAAGTAACACTGTGAGATCTTCATAATCAATACATGTACAAATGGTGGTGTGGTTTTGATTGGACAATTATTTTCATGCCTTGAGTGGGCAGACGTTTTGTATCGGGAATAATAAACTGCAAGTTTCATATGTGCTCAGTTCATTTAATGCGCCGTTCTCCTTTAGAGCCAGAGATTGCTTTTCTTATCTCTCCTGCTGTTAAAATGAAATTAACTTCCTGCAACTTGCTGAAAGTCACTAATGACACAAATGTAGAAAATTGTTCAGTATAAAGCAGACCCACACTATTGTCGCTCCGGCATGAGCTCTTTGTTTCATCCTCCGTGTCACCATTGTGCCTCTAAAATTAGATCTTTTATTGCCGTTTATGCATGGAAGGACAACTTGCACGAGCAAAGCATGAGGCCGAGAGGAGGACGCTGTTGATGTCTGCTGAAAACCCAAAGGCCTCCCTTATGTAATTGAACTGAGTTGGTGCGCTCAGATGAATCACCAAGCCAATAAAACCCATTAGAATCGAATTGCATGAGAGAGTGTGGGAGATGGAGAGCGATAGAGGTGGCAAAAGGGAGGATTTGTCGGTTGTGCTTCTATATGTTGCACACGTGTCTGAGTGTGAGCGTGCATACATCTGTCACCCAGAGTAGCAGGTGAGCCCGGTCTCGCTGTAAGGAGTGCGATAAGAGAGATGGAAGGACAAGCACATGAGAGAGATTGAGATGGATACAGGGTGACCAGGGGATTACTGCAGTGTGTCTCCTTCACTTCTTGTAATGAGCCGTCAAAATAATTGGAATGAAAAACATATCTGTGTTTAATGAGAATTTTGAAAAACAGAACAAAAAGTTTGAGAAAGGTTTCCAGGGAGCAGAAAGTAGTGGACGGAAATAACGCCAAGTCAATTTGGGTCGAAAGAAAAGGCTCCCTTCGAAGCTGTTTAGTTCCATGCATGGCAACACAGCGATATTGACATCTGAGCGCGTTTTGAATGAGTCCACAGACCAATCAGTCTTCGCCTTTTACAGCCTTGCCAATAGAACTTCCGACCGGCGCCTTAACCGGCCGAACTTGGGTTGTCAACTAAAGAGAGGCGCTAGCTTTGGGCAAGGCCTTACTAATTAGCAAGACGGAACATGAAAGTATAACAGGCAGCTTCCAAGATGGCGGCGGCTTGGTCCTGAGGCACACTTCTGCCAGAACGAGATACAGGAGCTGAAGAACGTCATTATCGCGAGTGCCGCCACATCCATCCCGGCAAATAACATACGCTGTGCTCCTGATTGGCAGCTGTACAGTGCTAATGGAGAATATGATTTAATAGGAAGGGGGGGGGCTACGCTATTGGCCAAGGAAGCGACAGCTTTATGGCAAAGTCCTTAATTAAGTTGAAGAAAGAGGTACGTGTGTGTAGGTGTGTGTGTGTGTGTGTGTAGGTGTGTAGGTGTGTGTGTGTGAAAAACCGGACGAAGATGAAAGAGGTGCGAGAGACTTTGGTGAGTGTTGAGAATGAAATGGGTTGGAAGAGGATAAAATGGGTGTAATTTGAGGTAAATCCAATTAGGCGAATGTTATTAATTAGAACCTTGTTAATGAGTGCAGATTGTGTCCATTCGTCTTCAGTGCCACAGTGACGCCAGGACAGAGAAACAAATACAGTATGTAAATAGCCTCAGCATTTTTCCGTCTAAGTAAAAAGCATTTCCCTGTTCTGAACCGAATGCTTTTGTGCAGGCGATTGTTTTGCGATGTTAATTGGTTTGGTTCAACAGAATGTTCACTTTTGCTGATTAGAAACTTAAGATACTCCAAAGAAAACAAACTTGAAAGCAGCAGTATCCAACCTTTTCCCCTCAGAAAGATCCACTTGCCAAACAAAAGAAGAGATGTTTTATTGTTATATTCACCATAAATGTTGTCAGTAAACGTTGGTTTACTAGAATTATCAGATGCATCCCATGTAGTTCTGAACTTCAGTATTATACAATACTATACATAAAAAAACTAGAGTAAAGTATAGTGACTCAAGTTTAACTTTTGTTAAACCCTTTTTGGTTATTTTTTTAACACTATGAAGGTATTATGACACACTTCCTGCTTTTGTTTTCTGAATAAAATAGACTTTCATTATTGCTTGAATTGAAGAAAAAATGGACCAAATATAAAGATGAAATATATTTAAATTATTTACTATTTAACTTCTTTTCATGTGTTGGGTTCAAATAATAGTTTAAATTTAATGTATATTTTCCTTTAAAATGATGTATAACAGGCCCGAGTTCCACATGAAATTAATGAAAATCTGACATGCCTGTTTTAGTCAACAATCTCGTATTTCTTTGCTTTAAACTACAAATTGTCCTAACCTTTGATTTCAAAACTTATGTATGCAAGATACATCCACACGTTTCACTGCATATATTTTTCTTCACATAGATGTGAAAACCAAGGTTGGGCTTAGAAGGGGAGAAAAAACACGCGGCATAGTGCTGACATAAGAGCAGTGCAAAAAGAGATTGATGATCTCAGGGCCAGAGGGAAAAAGAGAGAGGAGACAGAGGAATACTTACCAATAAATTACTCCGGGAGCTGAAAGGCCAGCAGTGTGTTCGTCTGTGCTCCCGTAGTGCGCAGAAACAATTACATGCCAGCGCGTATGGACTCGGTGTGTGGAGGCTGGAGTGTGTCCGCGAAGCAGCTCTCGAGCACATGGTCTACCTGGCATGATGTGGTCTTTCGCTCTGCCTTTGATGAAGTGGCATGAAATCTGCTGACACTGACGCCCACTCTTCCACGGATCTCTGAGGTGTCAGCCATTATTTTGGTGTCAGGCTGCTGCATTGAGACAGTGACTACATGTGGGCGGCGTGGCAGTGTTTTCACATGAAAAAAATATAGTTCTTTTGGCAGTAATTATCCGGAGTCCATATAAAGAACATTCATTGGTAGCACAGTGCTTGTTTTATTAAAGACCTTATGCCGGGTTTTTACAAAAAAAATTGTGGATATCAAAATTGCATGACAATGTCAATCTGAAAGAAATTCCGGCAAAAAAAATCCTATATTTTATAAAAAGAACGTGTTTTTCATGAATTTAAGTTGTCTATGCTCTAACCTGTGTGTGACGTCATAGCGGGTTACGCCCATGCATTGAAAACCATGGATCTATGCCACAGGACTGCCTTTTCTCTCTTCTCTCCACTGATGCCCAACACAATACTGCACTCTACAGGTGACAATTGCTCACTACACATAAATTGCCGTTTTGAGTGTGAAAAAGTGTCTGAGGTGGGATTTGAACCCAAGTATCTGGATTGGCAGTCCATCGACACAACCACTGGACTGGCCTTGTCATTTTGAATACCTGTGAAAAAAGAACGAATACCAAATTGTGAACAACTTACAGCGTTGAAACGTACCCACTCTGACGTCACCAAGGGCTGTGAAGTTTTTTCGTTTCTAAGGGCGTTGCTATGGGGTTATTTCGATTTGGGGAGATCAGACAAAAAAAAACAACAACTGATTTTGAAACCTTTAGTAGTTCTCTTCTAATATAAAATGGTATTAAAACTGTATTTCTAAATAAATCAAACTTTAAAAGCCCTTTTAGAATTTGCTCTCACCAGCTGCACTGCAAATGTGAGAAAGTGTACATGTGCGTTACTATTCTCTCTCAAAACACTTACAGCATATATTTACCTTTATTACTTATTTGGATTGAAAATGTATTACTTATGAGATTGAACATTTTAAACCAGGACTACCATTTCATAAATGCTTCGTGTTTTTCGTAACATAAAGATATTGTTTAAGTAGTATTTTGAGAGCAAATCGGACCAAAACATCTTGTACACACTGAGAGCTGCTGTGAGGGAAGGTACTCTCATTTCCACTGAAAAAAGCAATCTAAAGATGACAGTGGCCAAAAATATGTGCATGTGAAAACTAGTGATTGAACCAAACAATTTTCAGAGCAGGGAACTAGTTACATGGAAGTTGGCATTCCAGCTTTAACCACTATGTTTCCACTGTGTCAAAACATCACACACTTGCCATCGACTCATCTGTTTATCTCCCATGTGCCCAGTTTTACAAAGACTTTAACTTTAACACAAACTTGCATCTACTCCTCTCCTCCAAAACCGTTCTGTCTTCACCATTGATTCCGGCGCATGTGTCGAGATCCAGGCTATTGTTCTGTATTGAATGAGACAGTCCCGGTATGGCACTATTCCATCGGGATTGCATCTGTCATGGACAATGTCTGTGTCGCCAGTGCCTTTGTGTGGTAGAAAAGCTGTCTGCGATAATGTCTTGCTATACGTTCCAATATCCACATGCTAGTCTTCTATGTGCACATCTCTTGCTCCTCTTGCCATTGTAAGTATGTCTTTTAACCTGCCTCTGCCAGACAACATTTATCAACGTCTTATCACTTGTCAAGATTTTGAGACCTATTCCATTCTATCGGTTTCCAAATTAATTAAAAACATTTGTCTTCTGGGAATGGAATTGGTCTCTTTTCTACCGTTTTTTTACCCTGGCTTGACAGCATCGAAGTTGCTGTTTAAAAGCCTCCAATGATTGCTGAGCAGGTGGCAGCCAAGAAGAACAATTAATATTCTCGCCATAATAAAGTGTGTCATGTTTTATGTGCTGTAGTAACTTGACTCTAAAACATTGTGGCATTGCTATACATCCTGTTGTTGCTGCTTGTAGTTGATAGCAATAGCTTATGTGTGTTATCCCATCCTGTTTGTCTGTAGAGAATGTTTCCATCACTTCTGCGGCCCCTCCCACCCCTAGCACCTCCTTACCTGCCATCCCAACCTCCACTACCACCTTCACCACCCCTCTCCTCCCATCACCTACCCCCAGTTTACCCCCGGATGCACAAGGTAAATGCATTGTACACACATCTCTCTAGATATGATTCTTTGGCATGTTTTCATATGGGTTGAGTTGGTATAGCACGGTTTGGAAGATCCACCAACGGTTTACTTCTAGTTTTTCCCCTAAAGCACAGGGTCTCCTACCTGGGGCTATCAGTGGTTTTCCATCCCCTTCCAGGTAGCTCCCCAAAGGAGTCAATTTAACACATGATCCTGAATAATTCACTTTTGAGTCATTGCATCATCTATTTTGACAATAAATCTTTTAATTAATGCATGTATATGATGCATGTGTGCTATCTGTGATTGGCTGTAGTTATTATATGGACTAAAATTGCATTACGACTGCTAAATCAGAGCTTCTATAAAGCTCTGATTTATAAAAGTAGATCTCCAATGGAAAAAGGGATGGAGACCATAAAGGTGTACTCCTATGTCAACTTGAGAATCTGATCTGAAACGCTATGATAAAAAAACATAATAAAATAAACAACAGGAAATCAAAGATGTAGAAACTCAAGCCCTCTGCATTGAACAATTGATTTCCTCCATGACTTTGTGTTTGCCCAGAATCCAAGAAATGTCTTTGCATAACAGGGCAGGCGCAAATCATCACATCAGGTTGACTACAGAAATGCACAGACTTTTCTTTCAGTTCATTTTTAATCACATCAATATTAAGATCTCAAATTTCCATAATCTATCATAATAGTCCATGGGTGTCTTTGTTGTCCAGCAGAACAAAGCCCAACATACTTTTTGGATACTTCAACAATAACTTACCCATACCGACTCAACTTGTAGAATATTATTGGTGAAAACGCTTTGATCTTTTGCCTCCATCGTGCTTCGCTTCATTGCTTCTGTTTGTGACGGCGCTCACACAGAACTCGCCACACACGCTCTTCCTCGCCGTACACCACCTTCGCTCGCACCTCTGTACATTGTTTGTGAGGCTGCAGACGCTTGCATATGCACGCTGCCACCTCCTGCTCTGCTCCACTGTTATCGCTGCCCGTTTGATGCTATAACCACACATTGCCTACTCAGCATGCATGTGTGCGTGTGTATGCGTGTGTGTGTGTGTGTATGTATGAGGGTGTGTTTACGTCTGGCTTATCTTTGAGCTTCCTTAATGAATGCATAGGAAGAGTTTGGGTATGTAGCAGCCGTGAGCTAAATGATACTAGCCTCTTAAGGGGGGTGTCAAACGCTCCCACACTGAATATGCCAAATCTTAGATCATTAATGTTTAACCTATACCTCCAGTCTTATGAATATTAATGTTGCGTTCAGGGGAAAACATGATATACTGTATAGTGTCAGGACAGCTTGTCTGATTTGTGCAGCGGAGACAAATATATGCATTTCCAGAAGTATTGGATGTTAATGAATGGTTTTAACATGTATCTTTGTAACTAATACTAACACTGACTGTCCACAACCCTTGATTCAAATGTATGTTGTGGATTTCAGTATGTTTCACTACGCTGAGTTTATGGAGATGTAATTATAACGTTTTTTTCAGGTTAAGCTAATACAGACTTTACTCCCATAATTCATTACCAAGTTTATGCTTCCTCCATGAATGTATTGTATTATCTGGATAAGGTATTGCTAGCCCCAGCTGGGCCCCTGGATGATGGTGGACCACCCACACCACTGCAGATTAAATTCATCAGGGCGACCCAGGATATTTTCCCATGGACCTCAAAGTTAACAATAACTGCTCGTCCTCAGCTTCATAGAACCTACAGCTTTCTCAAAAGTTGGGTTTAGTGGGATTTTTAGTGTCCCTCATCGTCCTGAACTTTAATCCTTTTGAAATCCCTTGCTTTTTTATAACTCCAAATAAACTCTGCTCGTTCTCATCTGCTCTTGTCGGCTGTGATCTGTGAGTGTGTTGGTTGACCGTCGTCGTCTCCGAAATATTACAGCGGGCTGTGCACCAGCGCAGCACTGCCTCCTACAGTCATTACTGATTGGTCAGAACGCTGGACACAACTAATTTAAAACCTAAGTAGACAACTGAGGGCCCTCACCATTGGTCAACTCTTCTCCAAAAACTACTTGTGAGTAGTATTTGAAGTCCCTCTAAAGGCAAGGACCGAATACATTATTTATGAAAAATACTTAATTTCTAAAAATGCTACAGGGTCATGTGGTCAAAATATGTCTTCCTTTGAACATGAACTACAAATGAAGTCGCTGATATCAGCTGTAAACTTTAAAAAGGGTATCGGCTACTCAAGAAAACCACAGGAGATTTTTTACTTTAAACTTATTACACTTTTTGCGATGAGATGGAATGCTTTTAATGTTCCTTTTTGACAGACACGCTTTTAAAATCTCCCCGTTTTTTCTAATTCCTGTGTTGCATTATTAAATTCAAGATAATTCATAATTCATAAAGAAAAGACACTTGACAATAAGATTCAAATGAATGGAAATGAGGATGAATACTGAACAGCTTTGGTGCCACTACAGGCTGAGGTTTGGCTAACTTTGACAGTTACTGACAAGGTTTGCAAAAGAGAAAGCGTTTATTTTGACAACAGAATATCAACAGAGCAGGTGAAGAGACACAAATGCATTTTTATTTCATTATTGTGTATTATTTGGTGTCAGTTGTGTTCACTGATTTCCATAAACTGTCCTTGATAGGCGCTGTTAGGGAACACTCCTTGTCACCACTAGTTAAGCAAGAAAAAAAAATACCACTTGGTTGATTCTAAGTTAAATTAAAAAAACAATGTTATTATGAGCAATTTCTCCTAAATGTGTACAAAGAAAGTCATCTAATAGTTTTTTTTTATTTAAATTTGCTCTCTTTTAAAAAGTGCTATAACTGGTTAAAACAGATGGCTATAAAATGCTAATGCTAAAGGCCAAATGCTAACTGCTGACCGCAAACAGTGCGTTGCTATGGTAACCAGCACTTCACTATCACTACCAAGCTGAACCAGAGCCAGTCCAGGACCAACTGCCATAGAAAGAACGAAACCGAACATATTACCGTTGAATTTTAGTTGTTTTTGAGAAAAGGTGAAAGAAATATTTAAAAAACTAAACTCCATATAGATTAAGAAAAAGTCCCGAAGTTCAGAAGACCAAAACTGTACATATGCTGGGTAATTACACATCCAAAACTAAAAACACACCACAACATTCATAATATATTACATACTAAGAGCTGATTGGCTGAGCAAGATTGGTTCTCTCTTTTTGACTTTTCCATTCAAGAAAAATCCAGTCTAAAGATATGACAGAGCCCACAAATGTGAAAACTAGTGATAGAAACTAATAGAAATAATATTGTACCTTCAACCTTCACAAAGCAACGCAGTGCATTTATTTTCCGTAAACACCGTGGACCTGACCATAATGTCACATGTAAGACCGGACTGTCCGCCCACTCTCCTTTCACAGCGACAGTATCCTCTTCGCTCTTGTATCCAGGTGGCTGTATAATCATATTCTCGCCGAAGAATGTTGCACAGCATGAGGTTGAGAAACTTGGCAGCACTCAAGCTAGTCCGCTACAGCCCGCGCACCTTCCCATCTCCTTTGTACTGGCGTTTTTATCGACAAAATCTAATTTATCTCACACGTACAGTCGCAGCAAACTCTCGCTGATGTCCCTCTTCTATCCTTCCAGCTTTGCACCTCTGGGTCCGCAGTGTTACTTAAAAGCTTTTGCGGAAGATAAAGTGAATGGAAGCGGCGAGAGGACTCTTGATCTTGTGCTTCACCTGCTTCGGGCTTCTGCGAACATGTCAGGAAGAGTCATGGGAGAGTTAGCGACCCGAGCAATGGTTGAGCGTTTAGTCGATCCTGATGTATTATTGGAATGGGTCCGCGGAGGAACAACACACTTCTCGATGCTGTCAGTCATTGCGAGCGAAGCACAGGGCCCCACGAAAGGATTTGGAACAATGTGAGGGGCCTGGAGAGCGATTCTTCTTCTTTTTATTCAGTGAGAGACGTTACTGAAGACGGGCGGCTTGATCGCGAAGGCGTTTGAAGAGCTTGTCTTGTCTTGATATCACAAGACGCGCCGGTTTCGTTACGGGTAGACTTTGCACTTTGGCACTGTGATGTCAAAAATCTTTGTGTCATTAGTCAGTATAGTGTGGCGTGATTTTATCTGTGTGGAGTTGTGGAATCAGCAAGCAAGAGAACTCCCAGGATTATGAAACGACTGAAACTGCCATCCAAAGCAATGGACGTCGGAGGAATCTAATACCACTTTTCCATCAAGCTTGAACTAGTGCCAGAGCAGAGCTGTGTATTATACTCAAAAGCAATTATCATGTTTGTTTGTTTTGCATTTAATGATGATGGTAATAATCATAATCATAATAATCATAATAATAGAACCTTTATTCGTCCCACAGTGGGGAAATGTCAATGTTGCAGCGCACATACAGGACAGTAGAAAGAGCACACAGGGAGCACACAGAAAATACAATATAAGTAGCTGATATGTTTCTTAGCTAGCTGTAAATACCTCAATATCAATATATTAAAATATCTCTCTATTTCTATATACTACATAGTGCAACGTTATATACATTGAGGATTATAAGTACATTCAGTGGATATTCCAAAGTTGCACATTGCACATGATTACTATTTACAGATGAATGACATGTACAGGCTCCGCAGTTCTCAATATACAGTCTGACATCAAGAAAATACTGGTTCCGGATGCTCAAAAATTGGCCTTACCTCAAACCCCACACCAGGGCCAAAAATGGTAACCAAAGTCACTAAACAACTTCAGCTATAAATATTAAAACTCCTAGGGGAGGGTTAGAAAACAGTATTATTAAATAGTAACTCTTGGTAAAGAGTGTTTATTACCTCAGTCCAGGAGGTAAAGTGATCACTGTCTTTTGTCTGTTTGCCTGTCTTGGCTAAAAGAGGGTGTAGCTGCTAAGAGAGGATGTAGCTGCCATAATAAGTTAATTGCCCACCATCCTAAATTGTGACAAAAATGGACATTTAGACTAAAAGGTGTATTCAGTTATAGGATAAACAATCAGTATTGAGCAAACACAGTCTTTGAGTCATAAGCACACTTCACTTCAACATCTCCATCGTAACAATGTTGGATCCGGCACTAGCACCAAGAGCCTCAAAGAGCTTTGTACACAAGCAGAGGTGCACGTCTAAACTCTGAGACGCTCTTGCTGCTAATGCAATCACTGATGTTATTGGATGGAATTGTGATATAGCTGTTTTTCCTTTGGCTGTTAAAGTTCAAATTTGATTCCAATAATTCCCCTACATGTTTAACCTGAACTGAAGCAAATGGAGCATTTTAAAGTTACATTCATATTCAAGACTGCTCTGGCGCTCCTGTTATGTCCCCAGATATTTTATGTCACACTAAATGGCTCATAAATTATAAATCTTTTCCATCAAGGCAAAAGTGAAATCACTTTAGTTCTGACTCACTTTAGTTCTGTGTCCTTGATGTACTTATTCTCTCACAGAGCTCACGAAATAGCATTTTTACTTGTTTTCCAATGAAACACATTCATATATTTTATACCTGACTCAAAGTGCTGTCTTTTGCTCTACCTATTACCTTAATTTAGTTAATTCCCATCTATTGCTTTTTGTTTTTACAGCACTTAGATAAAAGTGTGTGTCTTATTGCCAGCCAGGGTGAAGCTTATTCCTGGTTTTAAAGAGGCTTTTTGGCCTGAAATGGATCCAAAGGCTTTAATGGGTTCGAGTGAACTTTGCACGCCACTTTTTGACATCATCTGCAGCATATGTATTTACAGCATTTTAGATTTGATTCCAAACAATATGATCTGGAAACATAATAAGATTTCCCTCATGGATCATTACGACAGCCTCTCCATATACCAAAACGTTTACACAATGATCCACTTTGGGGCGAATAAAATTGTATATTATTTTTTCATTCAAGATTTGATGGAACATGATTTTGACAAGAGCCACTACTGCCCGTAATCTTTATTCCTCTTGCAGTTTTAAGCGTATTTACTCTTGTCTTTGAAGCCTGCAGAGGTTGACATGAAAGCCTCTGACGTGAATATTTTGGTGAGAGCTTAACGTGTTTTTCTGTAAGTATTTTTTTCCCCACATTTTTTTATCTGGTCCCACGGTGAGCTGTTATCCTTCTTCCCAGGGCTATAAAAGGTGTACCACTCAAACCTCTCCCCTCTTATTCTGAATGCATTGTACTTTCCACAGGTGGCTGGTTGGAGTTTTTCTTCTATGGGGCTGGCACTCTCATAAGCCTTCATCTCTCCCAAGTTTTCTTCTGTCTATTGGATCAGTGGGTGGTGATAAAAGTGATGATTCTGTGGTGGATTCAGTGGACTTTTTTTCCTACTGTGTTGAAAGCATAATATTGTCTAAAACCTATATCTTGTGAACTAAACATGTATAACTAGCGGCTCACATTGTCCACCTTGTTCCTTCACAGATCCCGGTGCAGTGGTGGAGACCCACAGTGCAGTACCATATGCGGTGATAGGGGGCGTCCTTGCGCTGCTGGTGTTCACTATCATCTGTGTTCTCATCGTAACCATTTGGTGCTCAGTCCGGCAGAAAGGTAAGCATTGATGATTGTGGGGAACATGTTTTCACAAATGTACTTGCATCCAGTTAAGAGTTCATATTCTAAAAATGATATTTTAGTTGGAGGGTAAGGGTCAATTCAACTAAAGAGAAATACTGAAAATTTTCAAATGTTTTTCCAAATCATTATTTGATAGTGTTTAGATCAGGGGTCTCAAAACCTGTAGCTCCTGAGCCACCAGTAGCTCTCCACCTCCTTCCAGGTAGCTCGACAAAGGATTTAGAAATGAGAACATCAAATAATATACTTAAAGGTATACAGGAGGATTTTATACAGATCTAACCCTAACCAAATAAGATCAGTGTTTTTGAGTTTTGTCCTGAAATTTGAGAAAATCATCCTGTGTACCATTAATATTTCAGAGTGTATTATTCATTATCTTTTTTTTATTTTTTTAAATGCACTTTCCTAAACAATGACTGCACCAAATTTCAGGCTCGTTCTCACCAATATATCACCAATTTTGTTCCCAGGGGCGTTTAAAGGAGTAGCTCTCTGCCTTTATCGTCCCGGGAAAGTAGCTCTCTGGGTGAAAAAGGCTGGAGATACCTGGTTTAGATTGTGGTACAAAAAGTAAAAAAGAGAAAAGAATGATCTATTTAGGTACTTACTCACTTACTTACATAGAATAATGATCTGATAAAGGATATAAAGGCCAAAAAATGTCACATTTTGTGATTTTTTTTTGAGAGCAACTAATTTAAGGCAGGAAAAATCAGGTGCATGCCCCACATGCCCTACATGCCCTTATGTATCTAACCATTTTGGCATTACCAACTACTTTATACTGTTTCCACGGATTTACAAAAAAGTACTGAACATTCCTGGCAAAGGATTAAGTGGGCAATTCAACCATTACTGAAACACCAAACTCTTTTGGTGCTGGGCGGCACGGTGGCTGAGTGGATAGCACTCTCGCCTCTCAGCAAGAAGGTCCTGGGTTCGAATCCCGGTCGGACCAGGGCCTTTCTGAGTGGAGTTTGCATGTTCTCCCCGTGTCTGCGTAGGTTTCCTCCAGGTACTCTGGTTTCCCCTACCACTAAAAATATGTACAATAGTTCTGGCATGTGCCTCCTGTACTGGCCCCGCTCCCATCTCTGTGTGGAGTGAGAGACAAATGCCCAAAATTAACAATTGTAAACCGCTTTGAGACTCAGATCTGCAGTGAAAAGGCGGTATATATAAATAAAAACGTACTTACTTACTTTTGCTTTTTGCTTTTTTTTCAGCAAATCACCTCACACATCGGTCTGATCTTTCTACAGTAACATAGGCTTTTTCATGCATTACATTTTTACGTTCTTTCTCTATCATATTGAATTGCGCTTCAGACTGACGAGGCATGACACTAAAGTTGCCTTTTCATTTTTGCAACAGCTGTGTCTATAAAAAAGTGACCAGGGGGTATATTATCTTCTCTTCCCTTTTACAAACGCACGCCTCTCCTCTAATTTCTTCTGCTCTCTTTTATCATGTTGTGTAAAGAAATCATTAGAGGCCAGTCAACCACAGTTTTCCAAAATAATCGTATAAATCGATGTGTAAAACTGGTTGAGGCGTATATAGAAAGAACACTGCTCATCTATGACCTTGGCCCGCACGGCGCTGAGGGGGATGAGAAGGGGTGGGGTGCAAATGGTAGGTGTGGTAACCGTGTTTTACGACTCTACGTTACTGCATCAAGGCCCATCATTTGGCCTTGGTAGTTCTCTATCTTTTAAACTGGCCTCGTGTTGGCACTTTCTCTCTGCTTGCACACTAAAGCTGCCAAGAACTTGTATCTAAGAACATGGTTGCATGCCACACACTGCAAAAATGGAGGAGAAATAAGTCAAAAACTGCTCAAATTTGGCTAAATGTATCTTAAAGGTAAATAGGAGGATATTATACTTCCAGGTGGATTGTAAAGACTATTGGTCCTCCCATTTGTCAATCATTTTGGTGATATGTGCTCGTCAAATAAGATCAGAGAGTTTTGTTCAAAAAGTGTAGAGGGCGGTTCTTTCCTAAAATTTGTTCTTGGTTCTTTCCAAGTAATATGTTCCTTGGAATGAAAAATTAAAGCAACAGTTCTTGAAATAAAACTACAGTAAATGGTTTGACCCATTCGCAAATCAGAATGTATTTAAGATATAAAAAACACTCGATTTATCTCATATTTCATCATTTCTTGCAGTGGAAATCCTGTCACTTACATTTCGACAGGCTGCCAGTCAAACATTTGGCATGACCTGACTGCCTATCAACTGCAAAGACTGAACTATTATAACCTGCAAAGACTACCAAAGGGCTTTGTCTGTAATGGGACTTGAGTATCAGAGTGTCAGTCAAGCTCAACCTTCCAGCTGGATGGTGCGTCAGTCTGTACAGCAGAGTGAAGGGACTCTTCGGTGGGTTGACCACTCTCCACAACACAGTATTAATCATGAAGTCTGTGAAGTCCTGGAATGGCTCTTTGGCTTTCAATTCGGAAGGTTGAATGCATCATGTTTAGGTCCCCCCCAAAAAACAACTCTATAGTCTTGACCAGTGATGGGCAAACCTCGGCCCGTGAGCCAGATATGGCCCTTTAGACGTCTCTATCAGGCCCCTGAGCCCTTCTCAGTTTACATAAATATAGTATAAAGACTATACAATCCCTTTTTCTAATTAATCAATCATTCAACTTTATTACAGACTCACAACAAACGTGTCACACAAAACAACACATATGACCACAACAATAAGCCTCACTCCTCAGAGCATGATATGTGTAAAACATTAAGAATGAAAAAAACATTGTAAAGTGGTTTCCAGCCTCCGACACCAGGCTAATAGTCCAATATGGTCCTCAGAAGAAAAGGTTTGCCCATGCCTGGTTTAGACCATAGACTGTAAATATTAACAGACGTAGTGACGTCTATTTCCTCCGTTGAGACGCATATACCCCAGACATGGGCAAATTCCAAATGGCCGCGGAACGCCCTGGCTGCAGTTAATGTTAAAAAAATGCATTTGTGCATGTGGGACGAGACCCATACAAATGCGTTTAAAAGTCCACAGCGGCTAAATTAGGTTGGTCCCCTCTTAAAGCCGTTTTCGAGAGCTAGTGAGATTGCAAGCATGTGCTCATTGACCCATTTGAGCCGGGACCCGCCCCACTGTTTTAGACCCACTCTAGACCCACTTAAAGCCATTCTCTATCGTAGACATAACTCAAGCAGTCAGTATAAGATTGAAAACATGATATGTATTCAGAAAACAATTGTGGATGCCCTGGATAGCCAACCTGTGTTGAAACGAGGACACTTACTGCAGAAGCTCACCGCTTATCACAAAAGCCTATCATCGTAGGTTATAATAATCCTTCAAATGAAAATGGAATGTCTTGCATGGACATTAATATTAAAATGGCGAGACTCAAGCTATTGTAGCCTCCACCCGCCTGAGAGTTCATGTCTGTGATTGAAATTGAGGTGCATTTTATGATGCCATGGTGTTTAGATGTAATATGAACAACACCCTCACACAACACTTAAATAATATGTGGTAAATAGTTTTTTTGGGTGTACAGTATTTATAGCCTTTTTTTTATGCCTTGACCTGCCCATCGTCTGAATGAAGCTGTCTCTAAACTCTACGATATACTGTCGCTTTTGAGGCAGAAGATCCATTTAAGGAAACATCTCAAGATTTCTCTCTGCCAAACAAGACACATGCCCTCCAGCATGTCCCGCGTCCAAGTGAATATGCCCAGAACACCCCCCTAGAGACACCCACAGGCCAGAGACAGAGCTGTACTCACAGTTCTGTTTCCCTCACACAGCTCAAATTAGTGGAGGGTGTTACTGCCAGAGAAATACGTAACTATGCCATCTCAAACTGCTGCTTAGGTCAGATAAAGATAAATGTGTACGATTTCTGGCCTTGCTGCAACTCCTAGGTGGAGAAGGGTCTTTAAGTGTGGACTTTGCAGGTTCCCTGGGGGTGGTACTGGGGTCAAGTCTCTCATTGAAGTGTTTCTAAAATCTCACTCTGACTATGCTGATTCATGCATATTTTTGTGGAGTTCTACAATGCCAAATAGCCAACTTACTGCACAGCCAGCTAGTTGCGTCCTATACCTGTCTCTGCAGGGCATAGTACAGAGACAGCTCTGCAGAAAGGCGGAGATGTCCACTGACCATATTTTATTCTGAATATTGAGCTTTGGAATGTCTTGAATCTTGAATCTTAACATTCCCTTCGTTCCTTTGTACCAATCTTTCCTTCTCTTCTGTCTCCCGTTCTCTCCTCGTCACGTTTCCTTCACACTTAACCATCTCATAACTGTCATTTCCACCGGTAGGCTCTTATCGTACCCGTGAGCCTATCCTTGCTTGGTATTGACCTAACAATTCGTCAACTAATTAATTAATCCGTCAGAGGTATGATGTTCAATCACCTCAGCCCTGATTGGTTGGATAATGCTTGCTGTTGTGCTGCCGCCTAACCGCCCTCCCCTCTCCCCTCTGCTCTCTCTGTCTATCTGTCTTCCATAGGTTCCTATCTCACCCACGAGGCCAGCGGACTGGACGAACATGGAGAGGTGCAGGAGGCCTTCCTCAATGGGAACGATGCCAGCCAGGGCAAGAAGGAGTACCTGCTGTAGCCCCGCTCCCACACCCAGGCCCCGATGCCCTTCTCTCATGTGACCTCGCCCCACTGCCCTCCCCGCCCCCAAGTCCCACCTTATACAGTATAAACAAGAACACCACACACACTTGTACAAACACAAGAGGAAGCCTTTTGAAAAAGACTGTAAGCCAATCTCGCACACAGCTGATCAGCCGCTCCATCCCACTCCATGCCTCCTGACCGTATCCATGAGAGAGAGACAGAGAGAAAACAAGAGCCTATAGAGCATCGAGCCATTAACAACAGCGCCATAAACTGTAAGAGCTGAAATAGAAAAGAGAGCGGGAGAGAATGGGGTGAAAACTCAAACCGCACTGGCGTAATTATTTTGATTGAGAGCGGGGAGCACAAAGAAACCCGACATTCTGCTCCAAAAGTGCAAGAGGGAATTAGAGGCAGATCATTGCAGTAATTCTATGCCTAGAGAAAGCCAGGCGTTCGAGAAAGCTCCATGTTTGAGCGGCAGAGACGGCAGGAGCGCAGTACAGGAGGGAGCAGGACTGAGGGCTTGCCCAGCAGCTATTGAGCGCTCAGCACAAGAAAAATTAAATTATGTGAAAATTGCCAAAGCATCTCAACTTCTCAGTGAAACTCTTATAAAGTCCTGCGAAACGATTCTGAGTAGGTTAACTGTGCCATTTTGTCGTCTACGCTGGGTGCCGCAGCAGAAATTCAAGCAAAAACAAATCAGCTTTTAGTGACTTTTATGATCTATTTAGCTACTGCGGTTCACCTATGTCCATCCTCTCCCCTCACTTTTTACCTCTCTGCCTGTCCTCACGTCACTTCTCCATTTTTGGCTCCTAATAATGAGCAGATTAGCGTTGGGCTACATTCCCGACAAAGAAGAAAGGAACATGACTGCAAAAGCATTAAAGACGAGCTTAATTATTTCTGAATGTCATTAAGAGGATCAAAAGGGTTCAAAGTCTTCATAAGAAGGGCAAAGTCTTCATAAGAAGGGCAAAGGCTGCGTTGGCTGACACGACAAACGACACAGGGATGGCGGATTTTCCAGAGAGCGACCATACGTACACAACACATGCGTACATATACATACTGACAGTATACATATCTCTGAATTATTTGTATAAAAACGAACAACGTTAAATTAAAACTTTTACGAACACAGTTTACTATTGAAGCGCATTATGAAGCAACTATACTAACAGAATATTAGCCGATAGTGGCGTTGATGCCGAACAAACTACTGTCCAGTGATCTTTAAAGAAAAAAAGAAAAAATTCTAAAAAAAATAATATATCTTGATTTGTCTTTGAGAAAGCAGAGGTCTCATTGATTTTGTATGATTTTTATTTGAGCGATTCTGATTGTTGTTACTGTTATTATTATTGACGTTGTTATTATTATAATTGTAAATGTTAAAGAAATGTACACTTGCCATGGTTTGTTTTTGGTTGAACTGTAAAAAAAAAAAAAAAACTAGCTGTCTTTTGCCACTCTTTTTCCTATTCCTACTCTTTCTTCTCTCTTGGTCTACTGTGCCTAGTCGTCTCCCTTCTCCTTCACTTAATTCTTTTGTTTTCCAAGTCCATGTGTCATTGTTGATATATAGCTAACTATTTCTTTATAGGGGAAAGATAAAAAGCACGACAAAATAAAAAAAAGATTTGAAAAATAACCTTGGGGCTCGGCGTGTGTGTGTGTGTTATTTTGGATGTGTTTACCGGTGTAATTAGCAGGTGCCGTTGCGGAGATCCGGGGGAAAAAAATCAAAACAGGAGCTGAAGCATGTGATGAGTTCGATAGGGAATAGCGGAATTATAGCAGGATTGGAGATGAAGGCAGCCTAAGCCACTTCAGACTGGAACCTCTCACAGAATACATAAACAAAACAGATGCCAGTGCGGGAAGAAAGCACTCCATGTATGTGCGGCGTGTTTAATGACGGGAATAAGGTAAGTACCAATAGTTACAAGTTAATTAGACATTATGCAGCATGTATGGTTTAAAAGGCTTTCGTTTGGCTCACAGATTTCTTGAGTAGATAAGCAGAAAGCATTGCGGCGTGGAGGCAATGATAATCAGTGTTGGGGAGAAACTTTGAGAATGTTATAGAATACTGAATACCTGCTTCAAGAATTGTATTTGCCGTTTGCAGTGAAACCACATTGGAAAAAGTGTGCGAGACGACTTGAATTCCGATTTTTGAATGGAATGATAAAACTGCATTTTATGGATTGCTCTTTTTAGATTTTTTTAAATTTTAGCAGTTTTGTTATTGTTAATTAGTAAAGGATAAAACAAACTTGCATACATCATAAAAAGGGATATTCGCAAAGGAAAGATACACTCTGAATGCAGTTACTCAAAAATAGACTTCTATATATATTATAGATAGTATTACATTACTCCCCAACACCGATAATAATAATGCATCTGTAATCTTTTTGGACGCTCAAAGACACTTCTCAGCATTTTTCAATTACTCCATACACTGTGGTGATGAACTACTACTGCAGCCACAACTTCCCTGGGCACACTGACGGCCCCTCTTCCCACTATCAACTATTCACACTCACACCAGACTTGTACTAGGAAAAGTGTTTTATACCTTTCACTATAAGCCTGTACAATAGCTCCCCTCTCTCTGGGACCAGGACTCCCCTCACTGCCCTGAATCTCAGCGGGACTTTTGTGGTTAAATAGAGAATCTTGAAATTTAGTCTCTTATCTGTGTCTTTTTTGCTGCTGCTTGGTTAAAACTAAAATCTGCCATTACACCCGTGACCCGACCTTTGAAGACTACTCATCTACATACTGATGAATAAAAATCATAAAATATTATAATAATCACATAATCATATAGGCACTAGAGAAGTTTATTTTATTTATTGGTTTATTTGAATAAGGACAGTACACATAAAGCAACCTTTCTGTAAATGTGGTGCAAAGGTACAAAATGCCATCAGAAATTCAGTTTTACTAAATATATTTTCATATTACTGTAGGAATTGTATTAATCCATGGAATGTTCTTAGTTATGGTAATATTCTGATGCCACTCATCTTTCCATTTCTGAAATAAGTGTATAAAAAGTGTGATATCTGACCATTGATGGAAAGGCACTCTTCACAGCCCTCTGCTGGTGGGACCCGGGATTGCAACTAATGTAACCAATTCCAAATCCAGCCTTGTGCATCGTGGTAAACCTCAGCAGGCAAGAAGAGTCCTCCAACTATATAGACATGTTATTGCTTTACCTTGGATTGTCCGCCTCAAACTCTCCTCAAAATGACGTCGTACACATAATACATAAAAGCTGCCTGTAGCGACTTTTAATCCGGATGAATGATCACAGTATAAGAGAGGCCAACAGGAGGGCGCCTTATGATGTACACACAAAATATGAGTGTGCCATTAACTTCTTCACAATCAATAGGCGATTCTGTCTGGGAGCACTCAACATGTCCATCTGAGCCGGCCTCGCAGACTCGGAGGTCGCCTGTGATGGATCGATATGTTTCTCTTCCATCGATGGGAGGCTGGGCGCTCGCCTGTCATAAAGACGAATTGTCAAACAGCAATCAAAGTAATGGACTCCTCCGACACCACGGCATGAATTGACACTCGAGCCAACAAACAATCAACGCGCATAGTCAAGGCCGCGGACGTACGTTTAGTTTCTGATAAAGGAAGCCGTACAGAGGCACTTATCAATGTAATAAAACAATAAATATGGGGTTTTATCTTTGAACTGATTGTGTGACAAAGGCTTGAGCCGTTTTGAGGTTGGTTATTAAAAACGACAGAGGACATCCCGGGGAACACGGTCGAGCGCTTTCTCCAGATCCAAAGCACATGTGGAGAGATTGGGCAAACTCCCATGATTCCTTGAGTCCCCGATGAAGGGTAGAGAGAACAGAAGTCAGGAACCCTTTTAGCTATTTTTAAAAATGTATTTCTGTTGGAACCATACATTTTTACTATCACTTTTTAGGATAAGATCTGTCATAGAGTCACACACTTCCTCTTTTCTTCTACAGAAGCTTGGAATACACCTAGAATGTAAGCATTTATTTGTTTTCACACCACAAAGGATAAAGTAAATTACATTTTTTGTGCATATCTTTGTGAAACATGGACTACTCCATAATCTCTGCAGAGCTAATAAATAAACCAAGATTTGTAAAAATATATACTAAATGTATATACTATTTGAAAGCTGTATTTTCTGGCTAATGAATGGTGCCATGCACCGTGCCATGTTGGGCGGCACGGTGGCTGAGTGGATAGCACTCTCGCCTCTCAGCAAGAAGGTCCTGGGTTCGAATCCCGGTCGGACCAGGGCCTTTCTGAGTGGAGTTTGCATGTTCTCCCCGTGTCTGCGTAGGTTTCCTCCGGGTACTCCGGTTTCCCCTACCACTAAAAATATGTCCAATAGTTCTGGCATGCGCTTCCTGTACTGGCGACCCTGCTCCCATCTCTGTGTGGAGTGAGAGACAAATGCCCAAAAATGAACAATTGTAAACCGCTTTGAGACTCAGATCTGCAGTGAAAAGGCGGTATATAAATAAAAACTTAAATAAAAAACTTAAAAAAAACTTATGTGATGAACAGATTATCATTTGAATTATAATTATTTTCACTATGGTGTTTTGCTGTAGAAATGGATGTTTTTTGTCATTCAGACGAGTAAGATCTAGTTTTGAACATCTCTGAGTTCAAACTGCAGAGAGGAGCAGCCAAACAACACTTGTAAACACTTCACCTGCTCACTTTCTGTTGTTCACCTGATGCTTTGGCAAAGAGCATTCTGGGTAGCTGCCAAGCATATAAAGAGTTTGGCATTTGAGCAAGCCTTATTTCATTTCATTTTATATAATTAGACTTTATTAAGGACTCATATACAAGCACGTACTTATTCATTTCAATGACTACACTTCTATATATAGAAGTCTATAAGATATTCAAGGGAACTAATATGTAAAGAAAAACCTTCCAGTACCTTCC